CATTGATTACGATTATTCTGATATAACCGTTGCCGTTTCGTTTTTGTGGTCATCTATCTCTCGTTTTCGTTGAGTTTCATAGAGAACGTGCATAGTCTTGTCGTGTAACTTACAGTCTCCGGTTACGAGAAATGATTTCCCTTTTTTTTTTGTTTTTTTTTTACTTTTTCTTTACACATACAACACACCCGACATACTTAGACCCAATTTGTGAGTTGTAGCAGAGCCGATCAAGAGCTTTTAATGTTGTCGGGGAGTTTTTCATGTATGAGTCTCGTAGATCGTCAGTCGAGCAAAGAAAAGACTATGCCTATTGATCAAATGTTAAAAATGTACCACAGAATAATTATGAAAAAATTGAATTCTTTCCTTCGTTGCGCGGCTTTGTTGAATTTATTGAAATTTGAAACGCTACAAATTCGAACAGGCAAAGCGGAAAATTTTACACATATTAATTAATTCTCTCGTAAAATAATAAAATTACTACAACGATTATTCCAATTGAAATTAATGAAAAAGTTATAACATATGTTTTGTTGTAAAATAATGTAGCTGTAGCTCTCACAAACAATCAAATAGCTTTCACTGCGTAGAACATTTCAACAAGCTCTTGATCAGTCTTGCCCTTAGTCCCGTAGTCCTGGCGATGCGACGTGTGACATGGATCACAGATTAGAAGATGCGATATTAGCTGAGAAGAGTCCAGTATGTATTGATCGATGGAGAATGACGATGCTTGCAGTATTATACCCTAGTGACAATGTTTTCTATAACTACATTGTTGAAATCCATGTTTCACCGACTAGCTGATTCCTCGCCAAAGTTCTTGGGAACGGTTTTTTGGTATGAGATGCTATCTTGTTTTTGTCGGGTTTTGTTGGAAAGTTTCCGTTTCTGCTAGGTACTAACATGAGTTTGGTTACGAATAGTCATTGTGTGAACAGGTCGTGTCGAATATTCGATCGCGCGATCGCAGGAATCGGCCGACGCCGTTCGTGCCGATCGCCATTGAAAAAAACTGCTCATTTCGAATTTCTCGACTCTCGATTATCGCCGGCCCCATAAGCCGTATAACTTTATTGGCCTGATACGACATAGGTGCGCATGTATATTACCGTATGAGTCAATAGCAATTATCGACGTTCTTTCAGCGACGGTTCTGCATAATCTAGATACGTGTGCATGTAACTGTATATTGATAGTATATACATTTTTTAATCGGATGCACCATTTTTTGACAATGGTAGCGCATGAGGGTTACGATGAGTGATGAGGAGTCGAGAATTCGTTTGGTATTCAATGCACCTTGTTATCGTATCGATTGACGTGATTGATTATTAAAGGGAATCCTCTGGTAAAAATATTCTTGTTCTTACACGAAAATACAATAAGAATGAGCCTGATGAAAAATTTCTGCGAGATATTCGACACGAACCGCTCAACAGACGAGAAAGTTGGTTGGTCTAACCGTAGGTCTGCCTGTGAGTGTTAGGTGTTAATTAACCCTATTTGTCCAAAATTCTTGGCGATGTGCCCGTGTTCAGTGTGTGTTCCCAGTTTTATTTATCCCCCCGACGATTTTACTCCTCTCCCCCTCTTTCCTTCCCATGTGATAAACTTCTAGCGAGCAATCCAGCGCCCCAGTCGATTATTTCGTCCCTTCCCATTCGCGTTCCGTTCTGATTGCCTGTTGTTTCGTGTTGTCTAGATATGCCTGATTTAACGAGGAGGAAGCGATTCCGATTTCGTTCCTTTTTGTTTTATTTTGACATTTTACTTCCGCCAGGACGGAGAGTACAATTACGCAGACGTCGTCGGTACTTTCCTCTGCCCACGTATGTATCCGTATATCATCATATTTTTTGTTCGTTTTGTTCTCTCTTTTCTCTTTCTCTCTCTCTTTCTCTCTCTCTC